GAAAGAGTCGCCTCGGGGCAGCCTCGCAGGGAAATCCCGCGCGTGAATTCATAAGGATCCGCAGCGGGTCGTTGGCCGGGGCACAGAGCTCGGACTTTATCTAGTATCTGGGGGGTCATAGTTGTTGTAGGGATGATGAAGATGCTGTAATGCTGAATATTTAATGGCTTTTTTGAAAGCAGAACAGTTTTGATCTCTGCGGGTACACAGACACAAAGATGACGGGTGCTAATAAAAGCACCTAGGCAGAAAGGAGGTAACTTGATGTCATGAGCTGATTAATTTGCTAAACCAAATACAGTTTAGCAGAATTGCAGAGCGTTAAGTCTAGCCCTGTGGGTCTGAACCTTTTTTTGCACCAGGACTCATTTGTAACTATCAATGGCCAGTCCTGACCTGGTGCCCCTCACTGCTGATCTGCTGCCACCAGGTCCCAGCCCCCCAGTGTGTGGGGTAGGGGTGTGTGGAGGGTCCCAAGCAGCCCCTTGCAGGCTGGAGCTCTGCCAGCCTGCAAGGGAAAAGCCACTGTTTCTCACATTTTTCTTCTTTAAAGGAAATCTGTTTTTAAAGCTTGTTCATGACCCTTTCATATGTTTAGACCTACATGTTGAGAAATGCTGATCTCTAATGCAACCCCCTATTCAAAGTAGGACCATCCCCAACTAGTAGGCTCCATGTAAGTAATAATCCTTCGGTTCCCTTCAGAGGTCATTAAACAAGCATCAAATTATAATGACTATTTGAACAGAAGACCTAACTGATGGCTATATAGAGAACAGCTGCACACAGAGCACTGGCAAATGTCAAAGTAGACAAAACTGACTTCACTGATCTTAGTTTTAGTATAATTGAAACATATTTCCAACAAGTGATTCTCCATTTGGTTATGTACGGAAAGTGTGGATGTTTGCTTTTGCTGAAACAGAAACATTTACATTAGCTTGGCTGTAGCATTGTGGTTTTATTGAAAATAGATGCATAATATCCACCAGGAGCCATATATGAACAAAGCCTAATGTGGTAATGAAAAATAGGGCTAGAAGGGACCTCAGCTGGTCATTTAGTCCAGTCCCTTGTTAAAGGCAGGATAATCCCTGTCTAACCCATCCTAGACAACTGTTTGTGTAACCCACTCTTAAAAAATTCCACGGAAGGAGATAAAGGAAGGGCAAGGTTCTGCTGAAGCCTGGGATGAACCAGGAACCGTTGTCAGTATACAGGCTGACTCCTAAAGGTAACATTTTAAAACCAGACTGATCAGATGTGATGCAGCAGTTCAAGTCAGATAAAGTATGCTCATTTTTTTTCCCCTCTGAACAATCATAATAGCATGTTACTGAGTGTATGCTCCCCTCCCCTCCCAAGCCTGGTGATATCCAAGCACTTTTCATACTGTATGCTCTTTAACAAACCCTAATATTACCCCAGGCTCTATATTTGAATTAATCTCTTGGTTTTGGTTAGAGCTGGTGCCTTTGGCTAGCTTTGACATGTTTCCAAGAATAGTGTACAGGTCTGGAAGGCTTAGAAACAAAATATGGTATATCTAAAGGTCTTCCCCTGCTGCTACTTTTAATAGTCATTCCCCCTCCTTCCATTTTCTTGTATGGTGATGAACTTGCAGGTTCGTCATCTAGGCATGGCGGGGCACCAGATTGCAGACAGGGGGGTGTCCCCTACCCGCCAATTGCTGACCAGGGGGGGGTCCCGCAGCAGCCAATTGCTGAGCCAGCGGTGAAACCCGAAGTGCACTTCCGGTGGCACTTCTGGTTTCGCAGTTGGTGCTTCCAGGGGGTGCACGGCCACCCACATGCACCCCTTACGCATTCGCCAGTGCATCTAGGGATGTTGCAACCAATAAAGACCTACAGGAAGCTATATTACTTAGTGAATACAGGCATGTTTGTCATGATCAAAAAGGGGTCATGTCTGACAACCAACAAAGAGAGTGTAATCTAGGGAAGATAAACTTCCTACCTGGGAAGTTTGGAAGGAGGACTAAGCAATTCTGAATTTAATTTTTTCTAATTGCAAAGATATTGCTTCCCAAAAACTAAGGATTTTAATTCCAGGGTTAGTATCTGTTTGTGAGAGAGGAAAATCAGTAACAGACAGCTATAATTCCTAAATGCATTATCCTTGTACTACAGAGGGACTATTTTCTTCAGTTTTGGTGAGACAGACCAGGAAGTATGGAAATGCTTGCTCTGGTAATTTAGATGACTATCAATGCCCATGAAACAAAAGTAAACAGGTAATCTAATCTTAATACAAAAAACTCTGTCACCAAAAAAAGTTGAGAAGTCCCACCTAAGCTTCCTTAAGTTACACTGCAGTACTAGGGATATATGTTGTAGTGGTGTTGGTCTAAGAAAGAGACAAACAAAACTCTTGGGCTAGAGGTGATATCTTTTAGTGCCTAATTGGAGAGGAGTAATTTAAATGTAGATAATTTAACAGAAATGCAAACTCCAGAACTCTTGGTTCAGAGATGATACCTTTTATTAGACCAACTAAGAAATCACAAAAAAAAAATATTTTTTTTTTTCTGCAAGCTTTCAGGCACACATGCCCTTCCTCAGGTTCAGAGAAAATTAAAGACGATAAAAAGTCCCCATAGGTAGAAAATAAACTATTGTCTCTGAACCAAGAATTCTAGAGTTTTGCATTTCTTTCGTCTTAGAACAACACAGCTACCAAATACATCCCTGATAACTTAACAGGGCAGTTTAGAAGTACCTTAGATAACTTGGCTAAACAATAGGCTCCTTTTAAATTGGAGCTAGATCCCTGTTAAATAGATTTAAACCTTTCAGCAGGTGTACCTTTTTTGTCCTAATGAGCTTGTTGTGCCCTTTCTACTACAAAGGGTAACCACATCTTCACCTGCATGCACAATATAGGGTGTGGTAATGATTTTTATCAGGGAGGAAGGGGCTGGTGGGCAAAAGCTTCCAACCTTCAGCTTTGAAATGCCCCACTGTACTGTTCAGGCTGATGAGGTATCTGTAATACATCACAGGAATACATACCAAGCTTTCCACATTTATGCTTAGTGCAGTGCAGTGTTTTGCCCATTATAAGCTTTTATGCCTGTCTGTTTGTTAGAGCTCCTCTTTGTTTTGTCATAAGTTTGTGTTTCAGCACTGACCTCATAGAGCCATTATGGCTTGCAGGCAATAAAGTCACCTTAACTACTACCTTTCAGGTTAAATAAGTTGTTCAAACTTATTACCAGGGACCTGGGTTTTCTGTTTGCTACAGAAAAATGAGGATTTTCTCTAATGGGGAAAAACGCAGGAAATAGTGGGTTTACCCTTGCAGGCTTTCACAGTTCCAAACTAGGGGTAGAGGGACTTGGGGTATGTGTGTGGGAGGGGTACCACATGCATGTGACCAGCAGTACAGCCAGGCAGCAGTGGAGAGCAGCTCCCCAGCTGTCTGCAGGTAAA